AAAACAAAAAAGGGGATCATTCCTTCTTCATTTACAACTTCAACTTTCACCTAGAACTCCCTTGCTACTCTTTCAACTAGAAAACCATCCAACTCTTTCCGGAACCAATCACATTATTGATTTTGGTGTTATGCGACTTGGAACACGTGAAAAGACGTATCTTGTTTACTTTTTCTGTGGCTGACGTGATCAACCAATCCATGACCTTGAACAATCATCTTGCAGGAAAGTCCAGTGTAATCAAAAATTCAGGGTCAAACTGAGGTAGGCAAAATTTTCCAGAAAAACAAAAAAAAAATAAACACACTTGAGAAAAAAGAAGTGTGAAGCTAGAGAGATAATATAAAGGCTAGAGGTTTCTTTTTCTTTATTTCTCTGGGCTTTTGAACCTTCTGGGGATCTTTGAAGGGTACTTTTTCTTATCAGTTTTCTTCCTAGAAAGGTGTTTCTGCCATAAACCTTTTGGATATGTTTCTTGTATTTAGTCGCAAAAATATACAAGGTGTTTGAAAAAAAAAAAGAAAACAAGTGATAGCTGCTGCTCGTTCTGCTAGTTAGGGAACTAGTGTTGTTAAGGAAAGTGTATAGACTTTATTATCAAGAAGATATAAAATCTTTTGAGAACGTCTGTTTTTAGGTTGGTAAATAGATCAGTGGAAAGAGTTTTATATTCTTTTATAGTGAGGAAGTTACTTTAGAAAAAATTCTATATTGTTATTGATAAAAATATTTATTTAATATATTAATAAAAATTATAAGAATTAGAATTAATACAATTATTAAATCAAAAAATAAAAATTTAATAAGGATAAACAAAATCAAAATTATAATATTGTTATAAAAAATTTTATTAAACTTAAGTTAAAATAAAAAAGTATAAAGAAAAAATTTGAATATATTAGGCAACAAGATATTAAATAATTATTTTAAAACTTTTGAACAATATTTATTATTAAAAATTTATTATTAAACAATTAATAACTTCATTAAATTCTATTAAACAATATATGAAACATATTTTTGAAATTAATTCAAAATTATTATTTTTTATTTATTTATAGTTTTAGAATATTTCTTGCATATCAAATACTTTTATAAAGCCATATATATAGTCATTAATAATCTTTATTCTTGAAAATCTATAGTATATACTAAGGCTCTTAACAATATCACTTTGATACTACTTCGATACCAGTTCGATACTTAAATTTACTATAAAAACATATGAGTAGGTTACAACCCATATATTAAATTTACTATAGATCAGTACCATTTCGATACCAATTCAATATCAGTTCGATACTTTTTTGGAGCTTTAGTATATACTAGTTAAAAACTGGTTAATTATATAATATCAAATATCAAATAATATTTAAGACTATAGTATTTTATGAAACTATTAATATTAATTATTATTTTATATAATTTTTTTATTTTAAATTATATGTTTGTTTTTTTTTGAAAAAAATTTTATATTAAATAACAATATATTATATAATATTTTGGAGAAATCTTATTAAATAGAAGAAATCCAAACAAAACAAAAAATATTAAAGGAGAAAAAACAAAGTTAATAAATAAAACAAAGGAATTATAAAATAATATTTTTGTTTTAAGTTATTAATTTAATAAGCAATATACAGTAACAACTTGTTAATTAATAATAGAAAAATATTTAATTTGACAAAAACAAACTTTATTAATTATTTATTTGAATTGTTTAAAGAAATATTATTTGAATTAAACTTTGACTATTTAGAATTAATAGTTCAAATTATATATAGTTAAACCTCCATAAATTAATAATTTTGAAACCATAGTGTTTTTTTTAAATTTTATAAAATTAAGAAGATTATTAAAATATAGAAACAAATTATATAGTAATTTTGAAAATGGGACCAGAAAATTTTATAAATTTAAGAAAATTATTAATTTATGGAGTATTAATTTATGAAGATTTTACTGTATAATACAATTAAATTCAGATATTTTTTAAAAACCATATTATATTGAAATTACTAAGTAATATATAATAATTCAAAATTATATTGTTAATTAAATTTTTTTTTATAATAATAAGTAAATATATATAGTTCAAATAGAAAAGAAAATAACAATATCTAATTTTCAAGAAATTAGTAGAAGTAATAATAACAAAGGAATATTATATTTTTTAAAAATATTTTAATGTTTATTTATATAAAACTAAAAAAAAATTTATTTATGCTCTATAAGCTTTATATTAAAAAGTATATTATTAAAATTAAGTAAAATTAATTTTTAAAAGAATATTGATTCTGACTATAGTTCTGAAAATTGAAATTAAATAGACTTGTATAGATTTGCATAAGGTTTAAAATATTATTAAAAATAATAATAGGTTATAATTCATATATTAAATTTAATATAAACCTAAGAATTGAAAATCAAATTGAATTGAATTATTAGAATTCTTAATTTTGACACAATATTCGGCATCACAAGTTTTTATAAAATTATAACTGAGTATTATAAGATAATATAGCTTAATATTTATTTTTCAAAAAAATTAGTTTTGCTTTAAGTTTTTAATTTTATTATAAAAAAGAAAATTTTGATCTTGTAAAAAAGTGATTTGAGCTTGATGTTTTAAATACTTATAATTAATAAGGAAATGATTTAAAATTTTAATTGATAAGAAAATTTTAAAAATTAAAATTAAAATAAGGAAAATTTATATTAATATAAAAAAATATTTGAATTTAAGATTGTTTTAAATTTAAATTTGAATAAGAAATTATATAAAAAATTAATTAATTGTCAAATAATTATCTAATTAATACTTAAACAAATTAGATATATAAATAATTAATAAAAATCAAGTAAAAACTGAATATAAACAAAAATCTATATTACAATATATAAAAACTTGAAGTATTAATACATGATTATTCTTAATTAACTAATTATTAATAATAAAGAAATTTGATAAATAATAATAAGGATTGATTGTTAAATATATTTTTTAAAAAGAAAATATATGATAAAATAAATAATTTAATTTAATTTAATTTATTTCTTATTGAATTGTTTTTTAATTTATTTTTAGTAATAATATTTATTTATTTATTTATAATATATAATATAGATTAAATTGTTTAAAAAATCTAAGTAGCTTATAAAGTTCAAAGAATTTATAAGATTATATAATTTATAAAATTATAACATTACAATATTTAAATTAAGCAATTTAAGAAAAACATTATATAAGTAACTTCTATTTATATAATTTTTATGTCAATCAATTAGTTGGTCAATTAGTTAATTTAGAATAACTTATTTTTGTAATCATTTAAAATTTTGTTTTTATGTTTTAATTATAAAGATTCTTAATATTTCTTGTAATACCTGTGAAAAATTATTTTTAAAACAATAATTCCTTTTAAAAATTATTATTTAAATATCAAATCAAAATTATTTTAATTACAATATAAATATTTTATTAAAATTTTTAATAATTAACCAATACTTATATATAAAAATTATAATATATTTAAAAGGTTTAACTTTATAAGACTTTTAGATAATAATATTTTTAAACTAATTTATTTATTTAATAATTTTTTTTAAAAATTTAAAAATTTATAGTATAATAAATAGTATTTTTAAATTATAAAATACATACTTATGATTTAATATTTACAAAAAGTAAAATATTTATATATTTTTTATATAAGATTTATTGACTTTTCTATATATATTATATGTAAAATATTTGTAATTTATTTTTATTTAATTAGATTATGTAAAGATAGAATCATTGATTTTTTTTAATAAAAAATTAAAAATGAGTTAAAATAAAAAAAGATTGTATAAAAAAATTTTTTTTGATTTAATTTTAATAAAAGTTTATAATTTCTTTAATATAATAAATATTATTATACTGTATAACGTGTTAATTTAATAGACAAGTTTGAAGAAGATTATTAATATAAACAATTATGTATAACAGTTTTAAATTTATTTTAGTAAATTACTAATATATAAAAATTATATTTTACTTGAATTTAAAAATAATATGATATCATATGTTTTGAGTATGCTAAGATTATTCTAAAAAAAAAAGATATTCAAAATGTGTAAGATACTACAATTATTTTATACAAATTATTTTTTAAAAAATTATATTAATATTTAATAATTCATTTTTCATTATAACAAATATTCAATAAATAAATAAAATGTTTATAATAAAAGTCGGTGAGAAAATAACAAAAAAGGTTATATTGCTAAATGATCTATTTGAATTTTTGAATAATCAAATTACAAATGCTATAATCAGTCATGTGTCAATCATATTATGTGGGTGCCCGGGCATCCCTGGTTGCACATATTGTTAGGGCGGTTTTAATTGACAGATTCCATTTATGTCGCACAATCGTGTCCCATGTCATGTCATGCATGTCGTCTTGTCGCGAACTGTTGCCTCTTTGCGCGTTTCAATGAACGACGCATTCTATATGCACCTTTGTTTTGTGGGTTTAAGTAAGTAGTACCATTGAAGTGATGCGGCTGCAGAAAATGAATTTGGAAAGTGTGATAGTGACTATGAGTTCATTTTGAATGAAACTCGCTTTTCGACAATCGCAATCATTGGCATTTTTTTGGATTATTGAAACAATAATTTAAGTTTCTAAACAAAGTAAAAATTTAGATAGGAATTCAACTAAATATACAGATTTCTCTCATCTAATGGAATGAGTTCAAAGTTCTCGCACTTGTACAATAAATATCTGCCAAGATAATATATACTGCACAAAATATTTATTGTATTTTTCAAAATTAAGAAATAGTAATGATAAATAATGTATTTGAAATACAGTATCAAATAATGTGTTTGAAATATTAAATAAATGTTATCACATGTATTCTCAAAAATCTCGATTGAAATTCTCATTTTTCATAGTTGCACAATATTTCATTTTTGAATATTACGTATCAGGTAAAATGGTACGAATCTCTTAGGATGACTTAAAATCATTATTCCAACCTTTTAGAGGGGGAGTTTCTGTCGGAACTTTCATCTGCTTCGGAAATAACGTGGTCTTGTTTCCCATTTGAGCTTGGACAAACAATCTTGATGGTAATTTCTCTAGCTCTCTATTTGCTTTGTCTAACATTCTGTACTTGGCAGCCATTTCGGCGTCACGTTTTTCACGTTGATTTCGCATAAATAATTTCCAAGCTCTTTCAATGGTCTTGTGTCTTTCGATATCTTCCTCGGTCATCGGCGGAAGTTCGGGTTTTGGAGTTTCGTAGAGGATCCTTTTAATTACTTGATATCGCGTGTCAGTGATATTACTACTTTGGTATCCTGGAGTTCCTGGTGGTGGTCCTCCCGATTTTTTAGCCGCGCGCGCCAAAAGGTTACGGATTGCAACTGTTGAGAATTTAGGACGAATATTAAACGGACTAGACATTGTTTTGCATTAAAAAAAAAAGTTTGTAATTTTTATGATAATCGATTTGTCACGTGTATGTATATAATGATCGACAAGAGGTAGTTTAAAAAAATTAAAAAAAGAATTTAAATATTGTTCTATAATAATAAAATTTTTAAATAGTTATTATTATTCTGAAATTATTCGGCTGCATTAGAAGCTAACTTCAAGTCTTCTAAATATCCTGGAATGTCTTCAGCTTTTATACTGACAATATCATTCAACGCCCCTTTGATAATTTGGACGCCTCTCATTAATTCATCTTCGGCAATGTTCAGCGATGGTGCTAAACGGATTATGTTAACGTGCGTGGGTTTACATAATAGCCCACGAGACTTAAGCAATAAACATAATTGCCAAGCGGTCTTGTTAGTTTTGGTTTCATCAATCACGATTGCGTTTAACAATCCGCGACCTCGTACACTTTGAACCAGAGGGGATCCAATATTACGAAGAGCTTGACGGAATTTTTCTCCTAAAATATCCGATCTCTCTACCAAATTCTCGTCCTTAATCACCTTAAGAGCCTCCATGGCCACGGCACAACCCAAAGGGTTGCCTCCATAGGTTGAACCGTGTTCTCCAGGTTGGATACATAACATGATATCTCTGCTGGAAAGAACAGCGGACACGGGATAAACACCACCTGATAGTGCTTTACCCAATAACGTAATATCGGCCTTTATGCCATCATGTTCTTGACAAAGCATTTTTCCCGTACGAGCAAGACCGGTTTGGATTTCATCGACGATTAACAGAACATTGTACTTCTTGCAGAGATCATAGCATTTCTTCAGATACCCCTCGTCGGGAACGTAAATACTATTTGAAAATATATATATATATATATTTATATTTATTTACGGTCAGTAATGTAGCGCAACCATAAGCAATCTATTCAATCAATCGTACCCTGCTTCTCCTTGGATTGGTTCCACCAAAAATCCGGCTACAAATTGCCCATGTGCTTTTAATGCATCTTCCAAGTCACTAACTGAGCCGTAGTTGAGAACGCGTTTGGAAACTGGACAAACAGGTCCAACACGTGGTGTATAAGGACCAAATCCGAGCCTGGAATCTGGGTCGGTTGACATGGAAATGATCGCCAATGTGCGACCGTGGAAATTGTTTGAGCACGAGATTATTATCGCTTGTTCATCGGGAATACCCTTCTTCATGTAGCCCCACTTTCGGGCCAGCTTGATTCCTGTTTCGACTGCCTCAGCACCCGTATTCATCGGCAAAACCATGTCGTAACCGAAATACTATAAATTTCAAAACGGTCACCACTTGAAATCAGAATAAATCGGGAATAAATTTTCAAGTAGACTTACTTCGGTAACATATTTTGCATATTTGCCAAAAACATCGTTATAAAATGCTCGAGAGCTCAAGCAGAGTTTTTGGGCTTGATCACAAAGGGCTTTTACAATCCTTGGATGACAGTGGCCTTGATTTACGGCCGAATAGGCACATAGAAAGTCCATATACTTGTTACCCTCAGGATCCCAAACGTAAGCTCCGTCACCTCGGGAAAAGACCATAGGAAGTGGGTGATAACTACACATGGATAATTAGTCGGTTAATAAAAAGAAAAAACAAATTTATTTTCTCAGGGTAAACAGAGAATTCCCCACTTGTGTGCTCCGTATTCGTGTTCGAGTTGTATCAACTTTTGGCTAAGTTCATTATTTCGACACTTATTGGAATTCTCTCCATTTGATAATTGATTATGTTGAGACATTATTACTTTTTTTTTTTTTTTGCTAGGGCAAAACCGACAAGAAAACATCTATTTTATATAAAAATACACCAATATATAGAATATACTAGCAGATCATAAAATCAGTTAACCATTTATGTGACATAGCATTACAGCCAAATTTCTATTCTGGGCATAAAGTTTCTCACGGCCACACAAACTGTGGGGTACTTTAACTGGTGCACGCTAAACTAACTTTTAACGGTTTTTTTTTTGGATACTTAAGGTAAGGCGTCAAAAAATTTTTTTCATACAATTTTTTACGTAAGATTTCGGTGCCCGAGGTATGGTATTGTATTTTATTGTGTAGTCGATTGAAATCTTACACCTGACTTCGTGTGAGTAAAAAATTTCATACTGTAACAATTTTTTATTGTTTTAATAAGGCGCTCTCATGTACGTTGAATTTTTTTGTCACCGTTACTACTCAAGTCTTGTGCTTTCCGCTTATTTTTACCTGATTCTTTAGGATCCATTCGGGTCGAAGGCAATTGTTTCGATTGTGCTTCTTCCTCCAATGGTGTTTTTTCTTGTTTTGGTAAACGTTCTGGAGGTGTGGGTCTTGGCTTGTTCCTGAAATATGGATGGTTTAACGCCTGAAATAGATGCATAAAGGTTATTATTGGAAAATGGAGGTGAATGGTGAAAATATCATTTATATCATTTACCTCACGCGTTGTAATCCTTTTATTTGGATCATAGGTCAATAACTTTTCTAACAAATCTATTGCGTCATTCCCTGCGGCCGTGAAAAGTTGTTTCAGAGGTGGCCTAGGAAATTTTTGAAAACGGACATTTTTCGATAGCTCGGAAAACCCCTAAAGTGTGTAATTACATCTTCATGACCTGACCTAACGGTGGAGAATGGTAATAAAAATGAACGGTATAGCACAAATACCGGCCAATCCTCTTCGTTAGGCGTTCCTAATGCTTGAAAAATGGTTTCAAGTTGTCCTAGGTCTGTCTCTCCAGGAAGGTAAGGTGTTCGCAACATTAATTCAGCGAATATACAACCCACTGACCATATGTCAACTGCGTAGCTATACTGCGACGGAATAAAAAATAATTCCGGAGCCCGATACCACCTTGATTGTAGATAACCCGAGCTTTAGCCAACATTCAAGCGAAGAGGACACGCTTGTGCACCAACATTTACCTAGTTACAACCCGTGGTGACATGTTCTTAACGTGTGGATCCGCGAAATCACGCGCTAGACCAAAATCTGCAATTTTCAGCTGGCCATCCTTACCGACCAACAAGTTGTTTGGTTTCATGTCCTTTTGCGTGTGAGTAATAATGTTGTCGAGTTTTAAACCAAAAATATGATTGCACGGTAAAATAAAGTGAGTCGATGGGTCGGAATAAATTGAGATAGCATACACGATGAAGGATCCAATTTCGATGACAATGATCCAAACCGCGTAACGTCATCAACATCCAACTTTTAGTATCAGCTGACATGAATACAAGACTCTTGTCCTTAATTATCATTTCCAGATCTGAATCCAAATATTCCAATACAAGTTGTAAATTTGTTTGGTGTGAGTAAATGTCGATTAACTGTAGTGGAAAATGGATTTTCGTGAACATCATCGCATGACAATTCTATCCAAAAAATGCTCCTTTTCACTAACCTCGATGATATTAGGATGCCTTAGTTCTCGTAAAACCTTTACCTCTCTCACTGCTGATATTTCTATACCCTGAAAACCAATTTCTGTCTGTACGAGTTTAATTTTCTTAATGGCGACGACACGGCCAGTTTCGCGTTCGGTGCCTATACAGTGTCTGATGAATCACTGACTGAACAGTTGAGTTAAGGTGGAAGACAATGGAAATAAATACCTTTATACACCTTCGCATACGTTCCTTCACCGATTTTTTTCTCTTTGTTATATTTTTTTTCGATTTGAAGTTCTTCTTCTTCTGGTGGTTTGACCGACATTTTTATTATGCCAAGAGAGAAACTTTTTGTAATACGATTTCTTTAGAATATGTAAACCAACCAATCACCAATCAACTTTTATTAATAAAAACCAAATCCAGTCATCAGCGGCCGGGACCAACATCAGACAATGCTATTGCGTATATTTAATATGTTATCCTACTTTAACCAGCTGCTAACTTTAAAAGATATATTAGAAATTGTAGTATAAACTTTTATAAGGCAGGAGTAAGAAATTTTTGCAGAACCCCATTTTGGTTAAGGGGTTGGCGAATCAATGAGCAATCTTTATCTTTCTAACACATACTAGTCTCATAATCGGGGGGTTTTTTTTTCACAATCATGCCGACAAAAATGTTTGTTATTTATTAGTCTTTTTATGGCAAACATAATTACCTTGCAGAATAATCCACAGTATGGAATATTTGTTTTTGGAATTTAAAATTGAAAATAAATAAATGCAGTATAAGAAATCAAAATATTTAATTTAATGTATACCTGAAATAATAAAAAATATTTTTATCTAATTGTAATTTAACTAATATTTCATATATATACAATGTGTAGTAAATTTTTTATTTATCAAAATAAAGCTTAAAATCTATAAATTTTATGAATATATAATTATTAACTAAGATATGGTTTTATTTTAAAAAAATTTTAAAATAATATACAGTATTTTTTTTATAATAGATCAAAGGTTTTTAATAGGATTTAAATCTGAATTATTGAAAAATTGATTTATAATTTCAAAATATCTTTTATTAATATAAATTTCTTGTTTATAAATACAGTATATAAAATATTAATATACAGTATTTATGATTTTTTTGTAAAACAAAAAAAAATGTTTTAAATAAAAATTTTTATATAATCTTTGAATATTTTTTTAATTATTATAATATTTTCTTGTTTAAATTATATATAAGTAGTTATAAGTATAGATATCTAAAAAATAAATTATTTTTATAAATTATTTTATAAATAATTTAATTGTTAAAATTCTTATATAAATTAAATAAAACTCTTTTTTAATTATAATTGTTTAGTTAAAAAAATCTTTTTTGAATAATAATTTTAAATAAAAAAAATATTTTATATTTTTAATTATAAATAAACTTTAATTTAAAACTCAAAAACTTTTAAAACAATTGATACAATAAGATGAAATTTTTAATTAAAATCTATTCAAGTTTAAAATTTTTGCTTATCTTTCAAATATATAAGAAAAAATTTATAATAGTTTTTTTTTTTTTGTTTTTTTATATTTTTACTTATTTTTATTATATTATAGAAATTATTTACATCTATATTATTATACTTATAAAACCAAATATTTTTTAAAAAACATACTTAAACAATGTTGTTAAATTTATTATTTGTTTTAATACAATCTTTATATACAATTTTATATTAAGAATACTTGTTATACCATTTCAATATTTTCAAAAATCATTACTTTTTAATTATTTAATTAAATTTATTTAAAAAATAAAAAAATCTATTTAAATTAATTTTCAATATAACAATAATAATAACAATTATTATATATATATATATATATATATTTAAAGAAGCGGGCAGCTTCCCGCATGTGTTTTTATTATAAAATTTTAGACTTGTAACAGGGCAAGATTTTATACTTAATATGTGATATACATCTCCCTTGTTAAGAAGGGTTTAACGCAAGGCCTACCATAAGGGCCCATCCACTTGTT